GGGGGAACAACAAACCAGAGAGAGAGGGGAGGGGGGGGGAGGAAAGAGGATCCACAGTGAGAAAACACACCCAAACCAGAGTCCGTATCACAGAAAACCAGGATTACGTCACACCGGCAACGGATTCTGGAGCACAAACCAGTTTTACGGCAGGCAGCCGCAGGCTGGAATAAGAAAGCCGTGATTTTTCCCCGGTTTTAGCGATGTAGACATGTCGAACCCCGGAGGCGGGGTTCACCTGCCCCGGCGGCACCAAGCAACAGTTCCTGCTAACAACTAGTGCTTCGTTTCTGCTGGGGGCGGGCAGAGCTCCACAGAGCAGCTGCATCCTGCAGAAGTAAGTACAGGGTGGGTTCAAACAATCCAGGCGCTTTCTTATTTATTTTACTAGAATAACGGGTTATAACAACCATTTTATATTCCAAGGAGGACTGCGTCAGTTAAACGCAGTATCTTAGGTGCACTACACGTGTAGGGCTGGACCTTTATTCCCGAGAAAGCTCTACTAATCGTTCAATTTAGTGCTGGGAGAAGGGAATAAATTCAAGCCAGCCTGGCATCTTACTTACCTGGCATAGCCAATGATCAAGCTGCCAAACACCGTCCCGATACCCGCTCCCGAACCAGCCACCCCGACCGTGGCAGCGCCGGCACCGATGAACTTCGCAGCAGTGTCGATATCCCTGGAAAGAGCACTGGTCTGGAACTCGCGGCGGGTCAGCTGTGGGTGGGAAACGCCAGCTGGCTGCGGGATACAGGAGAAGACACGTGCTAATGACACGCTTTTAATCATAAATGTATCTTTTTTTTAAATAAAAGATTATCAACATTTATCCTCTAGTCAAGACAGAGCAAAACCAGCCAAGCTTGCTAAGCCATCACCCATTTGGGCTAGGAGCTACGTCTCCGTCCTAGCCATCCTCTCGACATACAAACTTACTCCTCCATCTGAGGAGGAACCATCACGTATCACCGGCAGCGAGCACAGAAATACAGCACCCGCTTTGCCACGTAAGAGTCTCACCTGTAGAGTCTGAACCTCAGGCCTGCTGAAAACAGACACTGAAACTGGTCTGGCCAGAGCCCTGGAACAGCACCGGAACTGAAGCAAAACACAAGACAATTAACTCCCGTGGCTGGATGCGTCCACGCTAATCCTCAGAAAAGAGCAGTTATTGTATGAAGAACAGTCTTAGAACTTTTTAGAACGTCTCAAGAATGAAACGGGACTAAAAAGCAAAGGCATACGCAGATGTAGGATAATCCAACTGGCTAAAACAGGAGTAAGTCCGCGCGCAACAGTGCCGCAGACCACAGGCTGCAACACGGTACGGGTCCTGTCTGCCCCACCGGTTCAGCCAGTGTTAAATTCCAAACATCTTCTTCCTAATTCATCCCTCGGAAGAAAGGGGTAACTGCGTATCTCTGTGACAGTCAGTTAGCTCATCCCCAGGGAAGCCCTCGGGCCTGCAGTTCAATGCACGTCTATTAAGATGGTCGGATTCACCCTCCGGTCACCAGAGGTCACCTTGTTTCCCTCCCTTGTTCAATCCACGGTAAAACAAACCCACGCGATCCCACCTCAGCTGAGGGCGGCCGGACAGCGTTTGGAACCAAGCACCACAGAGAAAGGCTTCACAATCGTATATCCCCGCTGTTGCTACGCTCCTCTGAATAAAAGGTGACTTACCAGAGCTGGAGAGCTGAGGAGAGCCAAAGGAGCCTGCATTTTGCTTAACCTGATGCAAATAAAG